CGCCACTTTCACTTATGCAAAATCACACAGGCAGATTCTGTGACAGAACTGGTCTCGAGTTGATAAATCACTCTTGCGGTACTATTAATGCCAAGGCAGCGCACGCAAGTAGAACAGTGGTCTCGCCCCCTCCCTCTCGAAAGTTAAAGAAAGTGGACGATCTGACCAACGCGTGACATACTTAGGTCACGTAGTATAGCCAGCTTAATTAGAGTGAAAAACAGAATAAAAAGGAACGTTTTAGAACAGCGAGTCAGAGTCGACTACGCTAGATTGTGACTATAGCTTTGGTTGTGACTATAGCATTAACTTGTTTGCTTGCTGTGTACTTGTGTGTTAAACTACTTTGAGACTGTGTAAACTACTTGGAGACGATTCACTACTATAGTGTGTGTTGTGCTGTGTTCATCGTTTAGTTAAGGCGACGAAATTGTACGTGACATGCCCCTAGATGGATTATAACATATGTAGATTACTTGGTAAAGGATTAATAGAACTAGTTGTTGTACGTTTACATCTTGTTTCTGTCATACGTTATCTATGTTCTCTCTATTAAGTCACGCTATCTAATGGTAATTTCTTACACGCGCCAAAAGTACGAACCTGTACACGATACGACACGAGCCACATTAAATATATAACAGTTTTCGCACAATTAATCCGATCACAGATTTTCATGTAAGAACGTATACCTCGCCGTTTCACTGTGTGTATATATGAGCTTGCTGCTAAAAGCCTGTAGTAATTAGTGTCAATTTATCACACTGAAATCCTCTTCAGTATGTTGCCCCAGGAGCCGAATAGATTGGTGCTTAAGCGGATAGGGCGTGAGATCGCGACTGGGGATTAAATTAGGATAGTGTTAGAGTTGACTTAGGAATAGCATTATAGGTCAAGTAGTTTAGCTATTGCTGTTATGATTACATTATTACACAATTATAGCGCTAATTCTAGCTCTACCGGTGTAGCCACCTCTCTCCCGCTACAGGGCCTGTACCGTAGCAAAGGGCTACACCGGTAGAGCTACTCTAATCCTCACCTAGCTACAAGTTACCTTCTCGCTTCTCACTACGTGGCGAGAAGTCGTTTCCTACGACGTAAAACAGTCGTAGAGCATGGTCGAGCTAATCCTAACCTTACCTTACACTGACAACCACCAACCGCCATCACCATATATTTTATTGCGTGGCACGTATATATATACGTAGGTATACATACGCAATACATGCGCACACGTTCATACTTATACGATAAATAGCTAGTTGCTACACGATTTACCAACATGAATAACATCATCAGCAGTGCTTATTATAATTAGCGAACTGATTGCTCGCAGTTCGTGTGCGTCTTTCATACACTTCCGTGGCCTGCATGTTTACGTAGCAGGTAATGTAGCTATTGTAGCGAGCAACGACTCGTCGGCCCGGAGGGGGGCACCATTGTTAAAGGTACAGGGGACGTGCCGCTGGACAGGGTATATTTTCTGAACATCATTATTGGCACAGCGTTATCTAGATACCCAACAAGCAAGCTGATATTGGTCCAATATTGGCAAAACAATATGGGGCCAATATCACCAGGCCAATATTGGACCAATATAGGGAAGCCAATATTGCAACAGGGTATACTTTTTAGTGCAGTATATCGGGACAGGGTGTATATTAGGGCGCAAAGCGGTTTACGTCAGGGTCCGGTTTTCAAGGTCCCCGAGCCACCCCCTACCCAGTTCCGAGGCGAGTGCCCCTCCTCCTCCCCCTATTCCATCACCTTCTCCCCTCCTCCTCCTCCCCCTACTTCATCACCTTCTCCCCTTCTCCTCCTCCTCCTGCCCCCTACTCCTCCTCCATGACCGTCTTCATTCGATCTCCATCTCAGGGGCAGGTACGTTTATGTAAACACAGGGTACATATCTGGGTACAAGATGCAGGTCTGGTACACTTGTGTACATCGTACCTCGAGAACATATCTGTAGTACCTGATACGACAACGACCCCTTCAGCGTACTAGCATTTACTGTGAAGGCAGCTGCGGAGCCTCAGGGTTACGGAAACGGAGATAGGCACCGCCGTATGCGCCTCATAGGCGCGGGAAGGATTTAACTTTTAACTTTTTTATAACATGTCACGATTGACTCACTGCCTACTGGAGGTATACGTGCAATATACACGCTCCGTAAGGCATGCGATCTCTTTATCATTTACACCTACTGGACGTATACGTGGAATATACACGCTCTGAAAGTCATGCGTTTCACAAGACCCAGTAACTATTTCGTACGTATCTAGCAACCGACATCGTAATGTGGAATTGAGATCCTCGAGGCATCGACGTTCCCTGACAGCTCGCGCTATTTAGACTACGGTTTTTGCTAGTGAATCAGCGATCGGCAGGCGCTAGGTGTTTATATAAACATAGCTTATATCGTATGGATGTGTAGGCTCGACGCTCGCGGCTAAAACCTTATTTTACTTAGCACACATGAAGAAGATATGTCAGCTAGGAGTATGCATCGACGTACGAGGGGTACGTGTATACGCGCAAGAATTCCTTTCGTTCCATAGACGTACGAATATTCTCATATTTAAGCCATTAAATCGTACACACTAATTCTCGTACATATAACGTTACTTCGCACGAATGAAGAAGATACGTCCGCTTGGAGTATATGCATCGACGCACGAAAGCAAACGCAGGAATTCCTTTCGTTCCAAAGACGTACGATATTCTCATATATCGTGCACGCTAAATCTTTCGTACACCTTACGTTACTTCGCCCGAATGAAGAAGATATGTCAGTTTGAAGTATGCATCGACGCACGAGGGTACTTGTATATGCAAGAATTCCTTTCGTTCCAAATACGTACGAATATTCTCATATTTTAAAACCATTAAATCGTGCACGCTAAATCTCTCGTATACCTTATACGAGACCTTATTACGTTACTGCATGTCGCACGAATGAAGAAGATCTCGGAATGTGCATCGACGTCGAGCACGTGTATACGCGAAAGAATTCATTTTCCTTCCCAAATACGTACGAATATTCTCAGGGTTAAAACTTGTACGCTTAATTTTAAACGCTAATTTATCGCTTTTTCCCTGCACGCTCATATTAAATTCGTTCACGCTAGCTAAATCTCTCGTTCTCGCTGTCATTTTTTCCCTTATGTTTCAATTTCCTGCGCTGGTTATCTTCCGCGCCGGTGCCGATTCTTGCAAAAAAGCTCATTGATATTTTGATCAGTAGATTAATTGCCGCGCACTGACAGACAGAATCAAACGCCGATGACGACGGCCACCATTAAAACAAATTGTAGTCACGCCCAAATTGCCTCGACAGTAAACAGAGACAGGTCCTACACTGTTTATGATTAAGCCGGGATTTTTTTTAGCTCGTATACGTACGATTTGGCTCGTACTTACGGAAACTGCCATATATATATATCAAAAATGCTTTTACGAAGATGTACGATAGACAATAGTCAATTGCTTTGAATTTATATTTCGCTTTCGCACGCATTCTACGAGCGTTGATGGCTGTAGTAAAAGCAAGAGAAAATCTGAAAAACGCAGCAATGAAATTTGAAATACATTTTTTTCGAAAACTTCTAAAGCTAATGATACCCTACCTTGAGTTTTAATTAGCCACGTAATTGGCTATTTAAATATGACCATACATTGTTGATGCGCCGATGATATTATATTTCAGCTAAAAGGCGCGGATTTGCGTTGTTAGAAAACGGTTAACGACGTTAACCTGAATTCTGTTCAATCCCAGAGAATCAATGCTTCGCTCATTAAGAGTCAATGGCGATGCTGTGCTCACAGTGCAAACGCGCGCGGTGCATGTCAAAAACTCCGACGGCATTTTCTCCAGCAGCAGCAGCAGCAGCACGTACGCAACCTCGTTTATTCATCCCCACCGTATGTAGTGATAAGGCCAAACAAAAAAATAGGTGTGTTTCCTATTGCATCGAAAACAAAAGTAGGGTAGGTAGGTAGGGATTTTTTTTATATATATTTTTTTTTTTATTCTTCGGTTCCTAATATCCCTCTGATGCATGCTATAAAGTGGTGTATAGGTAGGGATAAGTTAGTAAGCAAGTACAGAACGTGTTTGTAGTAAAAAATCTCAAGGTTTGTCTGTCAGATTTCAAATTTAAAAAAAAAATTAATATTTATTTTTTTTTTTGAAAAAAAGTTTAGGGTCGGCCCTAATAATCTAGGGACGGTCGGTCGACCGGAAACACACTTATTTTTTTGTTTAGCCTAATGAAAATCGACGGACACACACACGACGACGGCGGCATTGCGCTTACGTGCTTGTATTTCGGTATTAGGTCACAGTACACGACGCACACGCGACGTAGCAGTTGTACCAGGGGTGAATAATGACAAATTGCATTATTCATTCCTCATTGTCATTATTAATTCCTGGTTGTACTAATCATACGGGGCCCAATTCTAGTTTAGCACTCGGGCTAGTTTCTGCACATTTTACGAAAATGTGAGCTGGGGTCCTTGAAACGTGAATTGAGCAATCGCACGCACGCACGCACGCACGCACGCACGCACGCACGCACGCACGCACGTACGCGCACGCAAGCACGCATTCACGCGCGCACGCTACCACGCACCCACACAGGCACGTAGGCACGCACGTACGTACGCATGCACGCACGCACGCGCTCACGCACGTATTATCACACACACGCACGCACGCACGTACGCGCACGCACGCACGTTACCACGTACGCACGTACGTACGCACGCCCGCATGCACGTACGCACGTACGCACGCACGTCTTACGCACACAAGCACGTACGCACGCACGCACGTAAGCTGACACGCACGCAAGCACGCACGTACGTACGTACGCACACACGCACGCACGCACGCTTGTACGCACGCACGCACGCACGCTGACACGCACGCAAGCACGCACGTACGTACGTACGCACACAGACACGCACGCACGCTGAGCAGCGACTATACTCACCCCATGAAGGCGATGACGCCAACGCGCGCGACGTTCTCCCTGATGATCTTCCACGTGTTCAGCAGCACCGCCTTCTCCTCGCCGCTCATCTCCGGAAGTATCTTCACATCGGAGAACAAATGCAACGTCTGCGCCGCCGTCACCGACTCGCTGCCGGCCGAGAACGACCCGAGCGACTTCACCGATGTGCTCTCCTTCCGCTCGTGGTCGTCGTCGGGCGTGCCGTCGGCCAACGCGCTTCCCGACGCCATGTTGTTGTAGTGCGTCGCGTCGATGGTCGCGATGCCGTTGGCCGTCGTCCGGTTGTGCTTGAAGAAGCGTCGTTTTTCTTTCTCGCTGAACGTGTGTCCATTTCCGAACACGATCGGTGCTTTTTTAGCGGACCCTCTGCTGCAAGGTTTGCACTGATTGCAACCCATGTTGCTGGTTCGATCTCCGAATACTCAACTTAAATTAGAAGCCGTCCTGTGCGTGGCCTTGCGCGATCTCTACTCTCAATCTAACTACGCGTAACTTTTTCGAGCACGCGTAAAATACACCGATAGAATATTTGCCGGCAGCTCTCTATGAATCACGTGAGCTGAGTTCACCTTTTCAATGTCAGAGGAGGCTGCAAGTTGCGCCACATATTGCGTAGTACGTGAGAATGCACGTGAGTTTTTGTTTTCCCGATGGTCTGCTTAATCTCCAATGCTTTCACTGTTCGAATTTTAGCGCCGTCCGCGTACACGCGAACACACACGTACACACTTGACGATCTCCAGCGAAGGAGACGCTATCGACTCTAACAGCTTATTCTTGAATCGTACAATCTAACAATTTACATAGCCAACATCATCGACGCTTCACATTTCAACAGGCTATATGCAAATCAGTAGAGACTCACTTCGACACCGAATCGACTCCGATCAGATAAACGCTTTAAAAATCAACAGTTTACAAGCGGATCAATACACACGCATGTCGACAGTTTACGCAGTACGGTTTGATTAGTACGACCTTCACCAGCGAGATGCGCCGACGCCACTGCCACAGCCGCCGTACACCACACCAGGCTCACTAGCGGCAGGCAGGCACCTAGATAGCGCACAGCGCACGCCCGTCCGTCGGAAGCCAGCCGAGAGCGCGAACGTTGCTGCGCATGCGCAGCTAAGATGCGCTGCGGTTTAGCGTGCAGTCACGACCGAATACCGAATCGATGCACGAAGAAGTCACGGTCGAGACGAAGCAACGGGCAGCGCGTTCTATTCTGTTTCGGGCTAATATACTAATGCGAGCGCGCATCGGCGATATTGAACACCACTTGATTTTCTAGCTAAACAAGAAAACTGCGGCGCTTGCGTCGTTTGCGATGTTCTTTACGAAGCAACTTCTATAGCCAACAATCGCGTATCGATTGCGTAAGGAAAGTTGTGATTCCGTTACAAATGTCAACTCGGGAGATCGGGAAGTAGTTTCTAGAATGCACTTATCGCGGTTCGTCTCGTAATCAACTATTAACGCATGACACGAATAAAAGTTAGACACGACAAAAGATTGGCAAGAGTCTTTTGAATAACAAATTGTCGCTACTGTTAGACTATTTATTTACGAAAGAAAGTGCGACTGGGTAATTGAATGATTTATCAAAGAAATTATTGTGAGAATACAAGGAGCGATTACCATATTTTACTGTTCTCGATCATTCTGTAATTTCTCCGTATCATAGCTTTAGCGGTTTATATATGCAGAGTTACAATGTCCTCAAGGAAATTAAGATTTTGTTACGATCCGCCTGATGCTTAAAAACAGAGCTTATCAAATCTAACTAGGCTGATAAAAGCACGCAATAAACAATTCTATTGCCATTACGCGTCTAGAGCGCAAGTTAAATACTGACGTGAAACATGCAAATAAGCGAACGCTGCTGTTCAGAGCATGAAATCCCACGATAGTGTCGTGAATACGCGCTATATACTAACATAATTTTTCTTGTACATTACAGTTACATTGTGTTCTAGAATAAGAAGACCGATCTCGCGAAGAAACTTCCCCAGGGAGGTAATTAAAATAAACAATTAAACAGCCGGGACGTTTTATTGCACACGTTAGCTGCTGCAGGCGAGCGGTTTATAATAATATACGACGAAGATAACCACCTAACAAACATCATTAAGTGTTATCACTATGAGGGTTAATGTTTTCGAGTCATTGATTCATTCCAGCTGACTTGCCCGGCCATATTCGAAGCAAGCCAATCACCGCCACTCACATTTCTGTGTTTTTGAAGCCTCGCAGACCCACTCGTATCACAGCCTGTTCTGCTAGCATCTATGACAAATACGACATACGCATATACGCTCTCCTATGACACTATTTGTCATAGAAAAATTCTTCCCATGACATATATTGTTGTATGTGTTGTTCGCATCATAGGAGTTTAGAAGCGCTATTATGAACGCAAGCTGCTTAGCAGTGAATTTCAGCTGTAAAGCGGAACAAAGTTGACTCGCCAATATTTGTCATAGAAAGAATCTTCCTATGACAAATAGTGCCATAGGAGAGCGTATATGCGTATGGCGTATTTGTCATGGATGCTAGCAGAACATGTTGCGTATCAACACCCTGGTTTGGTGATACAGCCTCGCTGCGTATACTAGCTATTTGAGAGACGAATCGTCCTATAATTTTATGTTGTGTGTGTTGGAGTGATTTCTCGCGTGTGGTGACGCCGGAATGTGTTTTGGATTCTGACAAACTCACCGTCTCCGTTGGAATTCGTCGTGTTGCGGTTAACGTTGCTACCATATGTTTGGACCGCCTGTTCTGTCGGAGAAGGGTGGAGGTGGGCGAATCAGGCAATACGAACTATCGAGAGAGGGAGAGAACTAGAGAGACAGAGAGAAAGAAAGAGAGAGAGAGAAAGAAAGAGAGAGAGAGAGAAATAGATAGAGATAGAGAGATAGGGAAAAAGAAAGAAATAGAGAGAGAAGGAGAGATAGAAAGAGAGAGAGAGCGAGAGAAAGAGAGAAAGAGAGAAAGAGAGATAGAGAGAAAGAGAGATAGAGAGAGATAGAGATAGAGATAGAAAGATAGAGGTGGAAAAGAAAAAAATAGAGAGAGAAAGGGAGGGAGAGCAACCGAGAGGAAGAGAGAAAGAGAGAGCGAGAAGGGTAGTCACGGATTCGTGTAACTCAGACTGTCTATCGAAGAGGTAGAGCAAGGCCGCCCTGCGATATGTAACACGCTATACGATCATGACCAGAATATACCTGCCACTAACGGCGACACCTATCGGCGAGTATAGTCAAAAAACATCGGGCATGGCGGCTTGGGCAACGATGCATTAGTATCCCTCTATAAAAGACGACGCAGATATTTTAATTGCTGGCGTCACCAGCTCGTCCACGCGTCTCCACTCCGGCGACAAACACACACACACGCACACATACACGCACACGCACACGTACACACACACAC